GCTTAACATATCGGCATAGGTTTTTTCCTGATTAATTGGTGCCACTTCCCATGTTGGGGGGGTCTTATAAGCTGGAGGAATGCCACCATTAAAAGCAAAGTCCTTATGGCTCTGTTCCGTAGCTTCTTTCTTCATCCTTTTGATAGGATTGAAGTGATCATTCAGGCTTGGCCTTTCAGCCGCCGGTACTAGTTTTTTCGCACCAAAGAAAGCAGATGGACTTGTTGCACGTGAGATAGAGCGCGTTCGTACATTTGAAGCTGGGCTCGACGACACCGCAGAAGCACTTGCAGGCGTGAATGAGTGCGCAGCAGGGTTAGGTCTGAATTCCATAGCTTGGGCGTTAAACTTGGTGGAAACCGCTGAAGTGGGAGTCTGAGTTTGCTTATGAGTATTGGCGTTGTCGCCGCCCACTGGGCCGCTTGGTGGAATGCGTGTATCCTGGATTGGAAGGGGTGTAGGGACGGAGGCCATGGCAGCACCTTTACGTTGCTGCTGGATATCAGCTAGACGATGACTTAGCAATCCAGATCCCGCACGGCCAGGATGTGAGGGAAGGTGTGAGAGAGGCCGCCCACTTTGTGGTCCTAATGGCGGATAACCCTGACGGCCACGAGGATACATCTGCCGATCAGGCGGTGGCATCGACGGTACCGTGCCCATTTCATATCGAGCGGGTCCCGTTGGTCCAGTTTGACGGGGAGCGGGTTTTTGTTCCGTAGTTGTAGAGGCAGAAGCGGCTGTTGACGCCACCGCTGCTGCGGCTGCGGCTGCGGCAGCTTTCGCAGCAGCTTCACCAGCCAGTTTCTCCTCGTGCTGCTTTTTGGCTCTCTGGACTATTTCTTCTTGCTTGTTGGGGTCTTTTGCTAATATTGGTACCAAGTCCTTCGGAACTGGCGTCCCCAGTTTGAAATTCTTGCTGAATTTGACCAACTCGTTGAGTTTAATGGTTCTGTCATATTGTGCTTGGTTACGGCGACGCTCTTGAAATTTCAATTTCTCGCTGTTAGCAAACTGACGGAAGTGGCCGAGGACCTCTGTCTCGACATTCGCAACTGCATTCTCTACACCGGTGCGTTTGGGGGGAATATTCAAACTCGGAATGGGTTTAACAGCTGTAAGCTTACCCTCAGTGTTGCCAGTGAGTTCAGTGGTTGATGCTGGGTTTGGTAGATCTGTTGAGGTGACTGCACTGGTAGCCTTAGCTTCTGGCGTATTTCTAATCTCTGCCTGTTTCTCATGTTGCTTCACTTCAGCTTCCCTAGGAGCTGATTTGGGCTGTGTCGGCTTTGGCTGCGCAACTTGAGCCGAGATTATCGCAGGGTCTATCGGAGCGCCAGGTACCGTAGGATGTCCCATTGGTGGCCTTCGAGCAGGTGGAGTGTATTTATTGAGTCCACCAGTCTGCAACGGCGGAAATTCGTCACGGCGAACACCGCTATACTTCTCCTCTTCACCGATATCCTCGTTGGGATGAACTAAGCCACGTTCTTCACGTACATGAATGTTAGTCGTTTCACTAGCTTCAATCTCGCGAGCAATGCGAGCGGCTTCTGCCTGCTTTTGTTTGTATGATGGGTCATTGCGATCGATACGAGTTGTATACAAATCTTCATCGTAACTCGAGGTCGCTCCGAAAAGTCGAGCATTTGTTTCAAACTGGTCCCAGGTGCCAGTTGAGCCTCCCTCGAGAGACATTTCCACCACAGTATCTGTCCCTGGCTCCCAGGGCTGCAGTTCTCTTTCACGCCCCGGCTGGTTCCCAGAGATGTCGGCATCGGTTCGGAAAGCAGAGCCTAAGGATATCAGTACTATGATAATGACATTGGCAGCCCATTGAGGAACTCACCATTTTGTTCTTTAGTCTCCATTCCAGCAGTAGAGACACCCTCGACGGCGAAATCTGCAAGATTCTGGACATCGAAAACCATCTTATGGTCCGGGGCAGCGCCGAGATATGGGGATGATTGATGGCTGGTACCGTTTGGGCGGATTGAGTCAGGGTCTACTGAAGCACGCCGCGTCATTTTTAAGATAAATGATGTCTCGTTGGGTTCGAGAACAGAACCAGAAAAAATTCCAGAGAATTTTTCTCCATTCTTGGTGGTAATTGTAGCACTAGAACCCTGAAACAGCAGTTAGCACTACTACAAGGTAGCGCTTTAGATGGCGCAACTTACAATGAACGCCGTCATCAGAAAAACAAGGCGGTCATGGGCGTGCATATCAGGGGTGTTCGATTCCTTGTTCGTGGAGGGCTTGGGTGAGACTATAGGCTTTCTCCCGTGACCGTTCTGCTGTGAAATCGGGCCAACGTCTTTTCGGGTAGCTTGGGTTTGAATTCTGCATCCAACCTCTAGGAGTATTGTTGCGTCTGTAAGCACACGTCAGCCTTGCTGGGGTCATGGGTTCAGGAAAGCCCGACGACTCGGGATATAATCATCGTCAGTACCAAGCGATTGGATAGAGCGCTTGCTTTCGCTAATTGGTAAACAGGG